AGGCCTCTGGGGACGGCGAAGGCGCAGAAACGTTAGGCCGATTTGAATAAATATACCATCTTAACAAACCTGTACGGCATAGCAAGATGAAACGTATCAACAATGCCAAGGTTTAAACAAAACGGAACTTGGAAATTGAAGTTCTTCCTTAATTTTTCTCCATCAAGGTTAAGCTCATACTTCTTCTATCCTTTTCGAAAGGCTGTTACGAATGCTTTCTAGTTGAGATTTTAGCAGTTTTTGAAACTGAGGGGAAAACAAAGATGATTTTACGGTCTGCTGTGCTTTAGAATAGCTAACAGGGTACTGCTTTGCGTAATGCGCCAAACTTCTCCTCTCTCGAAACCCTACCTAGACGCTGTTTTTCAATAGTAAAAAAAGGAGATGAACTTTTCAAAATGAGGCTCTACGAACATTCAAAAAGCAGATTACGACGGAATTTGTTGAAATTTTTTTACAAAATAACATCACTGCTTAAATAAGAGGTTGTATTCCACAGAGCGTTAAGTTTTACTTTCCCTGGAAGAGTAGAATCGACTGTAACGCTCGGTTTTCGTGTGGAAAACCGGATTTTCGACTTCACACTCAAAAACAGAACTTTGAATTTCCTTGAAATTTGATCTGAGAAGGAAAATAGACTTTCCAATACAAAGCTCTACTCCGCAATTCAGAATTTACCTCCTTTCGAAAATTGGTCAATCAGTTCCTCGCTAGAAAAATCAGTTTTTCTAGCACTTTCACTCCTAATGGCAGATTTGTAATACTTTGTTAGATTTTGTACAAATAAAAAGATGAGCTTTTACAGATAATGCTCTACTCCGCAGAGGTCAAATTTACGTCCCTTTGACACCAAGTTTGCTCAATCGGTTAGCTTTTCGCTGGAAAATCTTTGTGTTTTAGCACACTTGCTCACAATCGAAATCAGGCTGTCTACGCGAAAGGTTGAACTTTCCCACTTGAAACCAACTTGCTTAAGCGATCTCTGGAAGAGAAGTGGGACTCAGAACGTTTGCTCTCGAAGCATATCTCCAAAGGATTTTGTTGTAGCTTGTCCGCGAAGAGTGAATTCGAAAATAAATTCTACAAATGTCATTTTATCTCATTTAAGACAGAATTGATCAAATGCTCAGTCTTTGGCAGGAAAATTTAGGTTATTTAAGCACATTCACTGGCACGTTCAATGAATTTTGTGAAATCTGGGAGGGGGGAGGGTAGAGAGTGGTAAAAAATTCAACACGAAGCCCCACTCGACAAAACGTCGAATTCTAACTTGCGTCAAGACCAAAAGTGATGGAAGGTTAAGTTTTTCGCTAAAAAATTGATTTTTTCTTGGATTTTTCAGACTTGTTCCAAAAATAAAATTTTGATGAATCTTTTCTAAAATTTGGATAAGAGGATAAACCCAAAATGGATAGGAAGGATAGGAATAGGGAAGGGATAGGAATGTAACCTTTATCACAGAGTTTTGACAGGGCCGGGCGTAGTCAGGTAGGCCAGCTACCTGGCTACGCCCGGCCCTATAAAAGCAAAACTTTCAGCTTCGAAAATTCTAACCAGTCAGCAGAAAACCATATAATTGCTGAAATACGAAAGGCGAAGCACTTGAGATTTTCCATGCATTAGTGACAGCCAAGCAACGTTCGCCTTTCGAAGTTATTCACTTGAACGCGAACTACTTCAAAGCTGTATTATCTTCCTTTTATAATGGTTATGTGAATGATACTGTATATGGATATCATTTATGTAACCTAATTTTTTTCGACAAAACCTTTGAACAAAGCGATGCTGCAAAATTCACGGATTGCGATTCAATTAACAAAAACAACAAATATTGGCAAAATTTTTGACTTTGATTCAATTCGAAAAAGCAAAAGCGTTATTGCAGAACTTGCTGGACTTCGATTTGTTCCATTGATTTAACGAGGGATGCTGCAAATTTTCTGTAAACTTCGAAAGCATCCTATTCACATAAGCACACAAAAGCTTGTTTGTACCCGGAAATTATATTGTTCAGAAGAAGATTCCATTTCTTTCGACTAGGAAGAGAACCGCTGCAGATATAGCTTCAACTTAATTCTAACTAGCTGGCTTACCCGGCTCCGCCCGCCCCTGTCAAAAACGATAAAGGTTCGATTGCTCTCCCTGTACACACCTTTACCTGTGCCCACTTCTACATGCAAAACCCTATTCCCGCTGTGTTAGTAACCAGTATGCTCAACTACCTTCCTCATCAACCCCCAGCCCCGCAGCTCAAACTTTGCAAAAAAACAATAAAATCGATAAAAGTAAGGATAATTCTAAAAACTGATGGCGTTATTCCGCTATCCGGGCTCTAAAATGTTTTTGTGGTGGATCTTGCTCAAACTCGGTATATGGGGGTTATTCAAGCCGCTGATGACGAAAATCGTAGTCATTTCGCGTGGCCAGGTAAAAACCATGAACCTGCCTAAAACCTGGGCAGGGAATTACCCAAAGTGCTGTTTCAAGAACATCGTGCTTAATCCCCATGATAATGGCAATTCGTGTGGTATGAGACTTTCCCACGACCGTAATGCTTTCCTTATAGGACCACTGCCGCGCGCGATACACCCTTCGGCGGCTTTTGCCTAAGCAAAAGCAGGGGGAGGGAGATTTGCAGCGTGCGCTACGCGTTGGGACAGGTTATCAGGGTGGCGCTGGAGACCGCCATGCAAAACGACCGTTTCCCCATTTCGTGAATATCTGGGATCTAAATTGGTCCGAAAGCGAAAGTTATCCATTCAAACCCTGCAACTCACCATGACATCACTTCACAATGCGTTATGTTAGCGAGCAAGCATCATATTCATAAGCAGCATGCTTGTAAACCGTTCCAGGTGAGGTTTTGAGCAAATCTGGAACCTCGACCCATCTACTGTACACCCACCGTAACCCAAAAAATGACGCTATCCTGAGAAATCAGCATAATATTCATGTTCAGCGCGCTAAATGACCACCCTAGACGAAGTTTAAAGCAATCTATGTTTTCGACCCCATACCGTATAACTACCATAACTCTTGAAAAGGTCCCAGTACGCAGAGAGAGTATGATATTCGTAATCAGGTTCCAGCCGAATTTATGATTTTTACTTCCTACCGTACATCTACCGTAACCACACGGGGGAGACGTTCTGCAGAAAAAGTGTGATACTATTTTCAGCACGTAAAATAACCCTTATACCTAGAAGCTTGAGCAAGCTTTAGACAAAAAAAGATTTGGGGCCCGGATAGCCGAATAGCGCCAAACTATTGTGTTCGTAATCAGCATGCTCGATTACCCCCTGTGCCAACTCCCAGCCCCGTAGTTCAAACTTTGCAGAAAAATCGATAAAATCGATAAGAGTAATCGATAATCCTGGAAACTAATATTGTATTCGGAATCCCCATCCTCGATTACCCCCTGTGCCAACTCCCAGCCCCGTAGGTGAACTCTGCAAAAAAATCGATAAAATCGATAAAAGTAATCGATAATCCTGAATACCAATATTGTGTTCGGAATCCCCATGCTCGATTATCCCCCTGTGCCAACTCCCAGCCCCGTAGGTGAACTCAGCAAAAAATCGATAAAAATCGATAAAATCGATATCGATCGATGACGAAAAGTAGCCTTTGACACCCGCCGGGGCCCGAAGTGTATGTGTGCCAAGTTTGGTCCGGATCGGTTCGAAAATGGAATTTTCTATTCGGAACATACCTACATACAGACAGACAGACATCCAGACATACAAACAGACATTCAGCTTCATATATAAGATAGACCGTAGGACCATTACTGCCTTAGATGTAGTGTCCGGGAAAAATCCGGTTTTTGGAAGAACTACTTAGCGTTTTATTCGCTGCGCTGATCTGAAAATGCACATTAGAAGGCGCGAAAACGGCGAACATGCGCTTTCCAAGGCCTTGCTATGCAAATTTCGACGGTCCCTGCCAAGGTTGAGACGCAGAGTCGCCGCGGGACCGCACGATTCTAACTGTGGCGGCTGCGTGCTCTGCCGTAGAGCAGGAATTTCAAACAGGTGGAGGGCTCCGCTCAAGGCGTAAGTTTCCCCACTTTCCGATCGTTTTTTTCTTTGCTTTAGATCGAACGTTATAACTTCGCACTTGCGATGCTGTGTTTGAGGGAGACCACTGCATGGCACTGAATACCCAAAACCCCTACCTTGTCCGGACACTGCCTTTGAGAGAGGAACTGGAAAAGAAGTCTTCTAAATAGGTTCTTTTTTTTTCTTCTAAATAATATCAAACACAACATGACCAGAGAATAACTGCAATATAGCCCATTTGTTTCAATAAATTCAACCAAAAAAGTCTCAAATTAGATGCTTTGAAATGGCTTGCAATAAAAAATCTCTCTGCAGATGAGCAAATTTAACATTAACAAACACTGATGATCAGTTGCATCATTCACTTGCAGCCATACATGTATCTCATTGCGATTGTGGTAGGCCTTTCAATTCTAAACTTTCCTTTGTGCATTACTGTAACTGAACTTCAGCTCGTGTTCGTCGCCTTGGCGCATGCCGGTAAGTAACCCTGAGTAAACTAGTGGGCTTCAATCATGGTGATCCTTGCAGACATCTGCCCTGAAAGTAATGGGATGACAGACGTCGTGCGACTGAACATCTTAAAGGCAGCGTCCAGGCAGATCTGGACCTATAGGGCTTTTACGTGGAAAGTACTTTTGGGGCCCTAACTAAGGCACTGCCCAAGCGGCAGCTCAGGTAGTACTCTAATGGCTGAGATATTTCCCTCGAAACTGGCCCCCGCGAACGTATTCGCATGGATTCATGGCAGTTTCGCGCCAGGATCCACGCTTTGCGCCATGAATCCATGCGAAACACGGTCGCGGGGTCCAGTTTCGAGGAGAATATCTCAGGCGTTAGGGCACTACCTGAGCTGCCGGTTGGGCAGTGGCTTAGTTAGGGCCCCAAAAGTACTTTCCACGTGAGATCCCCATAGGTCTAGACTTGGCTGGACGCTGCCTTTAAACGTTCACAATGTGTTCAGGTAGGCATAAAAAGAGTGAAGAAGAAAAGGGATGATTTGGGTGAGAAGAAATATAGCCAGCAATAATGACTAGAGATTTGTAAGAAACTCTTGGCGCCAAGTTTTATCTACGTAGTCCTAGACGTCATTCCTTGGCTGCAGCCTTTTTCCACTCCGTTCTTTCCCATTCCCTCCCCAACTCCATTCCATCGAAAAATGCATAGTTGCTATGTTAGGTCGTTCCGAAAGTTCTTGCGCACGATTTTCAAAATCCAACCGATTTCACTGTTTTTATTTTTGTATGAAAGTGTAAGTCATGCTCTTTATAATGACATCTTGGCTGCTTACTAATGACCATCTGTTGCATAGATAGAAGCGATAGAAGAATGTTAGTCAAAATTTGAATGTTCTGTGCAGGGTCATAAAAAATCGGAAACTTGCAACAAAAATCGGAGCAGTCGGTATTGTAGGTTCTTTCACCAGCTCTTTCTAACAGTGCAAAGTTTGCGCCGATTGAGCAAGATTTTGATTTTCGAACAAGCAATACAAAAGGGCGAATTTTATTTATTTTGGCATTTTTCAGGGAAATCGTAACTTTTTATAGTGACGCTCAATTGGCGCAAACTTTGCACTGTTAGAAAGAGCTGGTGAAAGAACCTACAATACCGACTGCTCCGATTTTTATTGCAAGTTTCCGATTTTTTATGACCCTACACAGAAAATTCAAATCTTGACCAATTTTCTTCTATCGCTCCTATCCATGGAATAGATGATCATTAGTAAGCAGCTAACAAGGGAATGGTCAGAAGTCGAAGTGGCCAATCCAAACAAGCTATATACCATTCGATGCAGCATAGAACGCTGATTTCAAATCTGCCTTCCTTATCTGCAGAGCGCCTTTGTAGGCGAAGTTATGAGCAGCTTTACCGCGAAAAAACCGTATACAAAAATTGCGAAATTAGGCACATTATTGCTGTTTCAGCTCACATCTAGGTACGGGTCATATAAACTGACCTAGTTGCATGTTTTGGTCCAACACTGAGCCGAGAATGGCTTTGTACGGCCAAGTTTGCATTTTACGTGCACAATTTCTTAGCAAAATGGTGGCCTTCAACGGCTTATAATTTCGTCTACAAAAGCGCTCTGCAGATAAAGAAGACAGATTTAGAGTCAGCATTTTATACTGCATTCAATGGTATGCAGCTTGTATGGATTGGCCACTTCGACTTCTGACCATTTCCTTGTAAGATGTCATTATAAAGAACATGACTTAGATTTTCATACAAAAATAAAAGCAGTCAAAATGATTGGAAAAATCAAAGTTATGAATTTCTGAAAATCGTGCGCAAGAACTTTCGGAACGACCTAATAACTGAACAAATTTTATTCTATCCTACATTACAAGATGCTAATACGCTACCCTTATAAATAGTTGAAAAGTCATTAAACTCGGAGTTCACCGAATCCGCGTCGCATCGTCATATCTTGGTACAGAATAGACGAATTCTGAATCCAAGCACACCTTCAACTCAATTCGGCGAAGCGCATCTTCTCACACATTTAAGTGCTCGGTTGTATACGATAAATGCTCAGATTTCAAAGATTTTTGCCAGCGGTGGGGTGATCAGTATAGTGCACAAGCAAATTGAAGAACCTACCGTTTGCTCCCCAGCAAGATTCCCATAGGTACCGCGTCATCTCGCTGCCTTTCGCTTTTTTGAACGTGTTAACCTCGGGCAGCTCCGTTGAAATCTCAGGAGAAACGTGTCAAAAAGAGCGAAAGGCAGCGTCGCACCAAGCACGCAAGCTGATTCACATGGGAACTTTTCTGAGGCACGCAGGATACGTACTATCGTAAGCAAAAATCTAAGGTCGAAATCTGATTACCTACCAAATCCACCGTGTCCAAACGAGCACTTCCTTTATATCCAGAAGATGCGTCTCGTAGAGCTGAATCGAACGGTGCCATTGCATTTGAAATCTATCTCTGAACCAATATGCCTATGAGACGCTGATTTCGGTAAACTCCAGTGGAGTTCGTTCACATTCTACAAATTATGGGCGGCACTGATTTTCCGATGTTTTGCAATCGTCTCTAGATCTTATGTCGCTACTGGAAGAGCAGTGGATAGAGTTGGAGGCTTCACTCCACCAGCAGCAAGATGTACAAATTGGTATGTGTGACGCACGAGTGAGGTTCCAGATGAAAGAAATTTTCTAGAAGACTGTGGAATGGAAAACCTCAATGTTGCGCACGCCAGAAAGTGTCAGTTCAAACACTCTGAAAGTAGCTCAAGACCAGGTGCTGGTGAGAATATTTTCGCGGTGGCCCTCCTGGTAACAAAGTTGAAATCGGGATCAGGGTAAGCTAACATCGATTCTGAAAAACAGTGGGATGGAGGGCACGTCCAATGCTATTCAGGCTGCGTATGCTTGGGCTGGAGAGGTGTAGTACGGAGTAGGAAATGAGAATGTTTTCACCTGGGAGCTGATAAGCCGACCTTACACCGCTATCGGACATTACACTCAGGTAGTTTATTTTCAAAAAAAAATCTGAGAAATTAAAACCATAACAGAATTCGCAAGCATTACATTGTTGGCCGATCAACTATTCAAGGAAAAATAATGATCTCGCTTTCAACTGTAATAATAATCGATCATACATCCAACTTCTATAGCCCGACAGTCTATCGAAAAAGGTTCTCACTAGTGCTGAGAACTCCTCGGTGGAGGCAATGGATTCACTATCGGAAGCATAAATCGACCATACACCTTCTTACTGCACTGGCATCTGACAAAACAAGCATAGCTTGTGTTTTGGCTCTCGTTACTCAAAACCTTTGTGTTATTTCACCCTTACTAATGAAGAGAGAGGTCAAACCAGATTACATCCTATCTGATTTTACATTCGTTAAGCGGATTCCTTATTTATCAGGTTTGTCCAAAACTATAGCATCGGAATTTACAAAAAGTCGTGGGTTTTTCTTAGTTCCACCGATTTTCTTTGATAGAGCATACCTAAAAAGAAGAAAATTTTTTAGATTTGCTTTAAAGAAATCTATACTGACATTTACTAACGAGGGAAGGATACTTGGTCACCGTAGCCATTCGTAATGATTTGTATATCAGAAAATGCGCCTTTCAATGCTGGTTCGAATACTGTCTTCCATATCTGCGAAACGAGAACCTGGATGGAGTTATGACTATTCTTGCATGAATAAATTGCGCTACTGCGGAGGTTCAAAATGATCAATAAAAATTTTCCTTTCCTTTCCAAATGCTGAATATGATTTATATAGGTATAATACATCAGTATTCTTCTTGAAATTCTCTTTAATAGCTTCAAACGGTAACCTAGAACAAATTTGGTGATTTTTACCCAAAAATACGCAAATTTTCAAAAATCAAAAATCATAGCTTTCTTCAGAAGATCGTTTCGCAGATATCGAGCACAGATTTAAAGTCAGCGTTTCGAGATGTATCTTACGGTATATACATCGTACTCCGAATGGCCACGGTCACCGAGCATCCTTTCCTTGTAAGATGCTTGATAAATAAAAGGGGTGGAGGAACGAACGCCTCAATTAGGCACCGCCTCCGCGGACCACTGGTCCCAACACGATGCACAACAGTAGGACGAAAGGACCAGCAGCCCGCGAAGGCGGTGCCTAATTGAGGCGTTCGTTCCTCTACCCAAATAAAAGCAGTCAATCGTATTTATTCATTTGGCCGGTAAAAATGCTAAAGTCCCAGAAAAATTCAATTTTCTTTTGAGTGTGGTTTTAAGACTGAATCTTTTAGGCGGAATTCTGTTGATCGGATGTATGTACGGACAGCTATGTCGCGTTTTTGCTTAAAAATATTTCGAGCCTAACTTGCTTTTTATATGCTTGATGAAGGATCACTTTTGTTATACGACAAAAAATATGACTCAAACTAAAGGGTTTCCAAGCAATTCTAAAACCCATTTTTTGCATTTTTTTTGGTGCAAGCTTATGCACAAACTCAATAGAATAATCAATACTATGATTTGAGCACATGATTTCACTACGGGAGTAGACACTGTCGGATTTTTTTTGAAAGAATTTTACATTTTCTTCTCAATTTCTCTAGTGTCCATTAGCTGCCCGAAATTCGAAGTCAAATAATCATAACAAAGAGTGAATCGCACACCAACAGGACATCATCGCATCCAGCTAGATCCATTAAATTATAGACATCAATATCAGCTGACAAACCCTAGGGTAGAGGAACGAACATCTCAGTTAGACACCGCCTCCATGGGCTGCTTGTCCTTTCATCCTACTTTGTGCATCGTGTTAAGACCAGTAGTCCGCGAAGGCAGTGCCTAATTGAGGTGTTCGTTCCTCCACTCAAATCCCTAGAATTCATAAAGGAGGCATTTGTTTTAATACAGAGATATAGATTTATGCGGTTTCTTTTTGAATCTTACCATATATCTATCAAAGGTGTAGATAAAAAATTATAAAGCTACGAATGAATAGAGGAAAAGATCTTGCTAACGTGTGAAATATACTTCCAGATGGTGGCAGACGACAAAATCTCTTGGCTGTGCTGTTGAAAATTGCTCAGATATGTCACTAGTAGTTTGCAACTACAAAGAAGCGTAAGACTTACAAAACTCAACTCACCTTGTTTGATGATAATAAGAGACTTTAGAGGAAATGTGATTGGTCAGCCTATTTATGAGACGGGAGTACCATGCTCGAAGTGTCCCGTAGGAGACGGATGTGTTGCAACCAACGAGAAACTGTGTCTTCTGAGCTAGGCTCTTTGTGCCCTCAGAACAAAGAATTCGTTGCTGGATTGTCTTGAACACCACAAACCTAGCACTGAGCATCCGATAATCCTGCAAATATTGCAGGATTCGTATGTCGAAGGGGATGAGCATGAATTACAAAAAAAAATTTTTCTTTTATTAAAGAGTATGTGCAATGACCTTAGAACAACTATTCAACAAGTGCGAACAACAAAAATACTTCGAGTATGATTGAGATATAACAATTCTTCAAAAGTTCAACAAACCTGCGTCAAAAACAAAAACAAAAACAAAACAGAAACATGCAAATTATTGGTTGTCATAAGCTGTTACTCATCATCGAGATCGGCGAACGTTAGTTCCAGATGGCAGCGTGGCTGGAGACGTTCCAGGCAATGGAAAACCAGGTGGTGGTATACCAAATGGTGGTATTGCATACGGTACTCCAAAGCCAGGTGGTAGGGGATAAGGTCCTCCGAAATGTGGTGGCGGCGGTGGTGGGGGTGGATACACTCCTAAAAATTACTGCTAACATTATCAAATACTCAAAGAAGCTCCGAGAATTAAGTCCCTCTGCATCTGAGGTCGTATAACAAGCACTTGTAAGCATGTTTTTACGACCTTTTGTGTTTTCCTATCTCGATGTCTTGTCTCAATTGAGTAAAGACGACTAGTGAACCAGTAATTAAAGGCAGCGTCCAGGCAAATTTGGACATGTGGGGCTACATGGATAGTAATCTTGGAGCCCTAACTAAGCCGCCATTGCCCAAGCGGCAACTCAGGTAGTGCTCTAACGGCTTAGATATTCGTCTCAAACTGGACCCCAGGATCGTATTTCGCATGAATTCATGGCGCAACCCATTGGTTCGCGCGAAATTGATGGTTTGCGCCACGAATCCATGCGAAATACGATGCCGGGGTTCAGTTTCGAGGGGAATACCTCAGCGTTTAGTGCACTACCTGAGCTACCGGTTGGGCAGTGGCTTAGTTAGGGCCCCAAGATTACTATTCATGTGAGAGCCCCATAGTCCGGATTTGCCTGGACGCTGCCGTTAAAGGTGCTACAATACATCCGCGCCGCCCTCGGTTTCCCGCTATTAGAAGATTTTGCACTACGATTCTTTATATGAGTAAAGACGACAATATTCGTGGATGGGTCACCAGTCTAGCAAGCTTTGACGTCGGCAAGAAAGTTCCTGAGAGTGGAAAGGAGAAAGGGGGAAAAGGAACTTTCCGAGGACCAACTTGTTTGCGAATCCCGAGGGCTTCAAATGGAACGACAAGAATGGGTCCCCTGGAATTTCAACCAAAAAATTCCGTAAACTTTGACGTCAAGTGCGATGCAATCAAGAACTTTCTGGATTTAGAGATTTTTCTCGGTTGCACAGATGTACAGATAAAGTGGCCTGATTGAAATATCAAGAATGCGCGAAGTGAGTAAGGGGCGAGGAAGCTGAAGCGCCCTAAAGTTTCCTACGGGACTGAGCACAGCAACAAAATGATGGCCTGCGCAAAATTTCGCCACAACAAAAGCTTATCTTGCAAATTTTGAACTTGAGATGAAATGATGTAAACGTACCGTTTTGACTGTGCGCTGAATACGTGGGATTTTGACCAAAAGGCGGCATATAAGGAAATGGTGGAGGCTAAATAGAAGTCTAGTTGGTGGTAATCAATAGCAAAACCGGCGCTATTCCAATATCAGGGCCCCAAAATTTCGAAGTCATTATTGCTCAAAGTCTGAGGATATTCGACCCGCTGATGCCGAATATCATATTAGTTTTGCGCGGTAGCGCCGTTTTCCGGGGTCACGGTGGGCGTACGGTAGGGGGTCAAAATCACGGATTCCGCCTAAACTTGGCCTAGAGGGGTTATTTGGCATGCTGATCAAAAATCATACTCTTTCTGCATTTCAAGTCCTTGTCCTGAAGTTACGGTAGGTTTACGGTACGGGGTTAAACTCTCAAATTTGGCTGGAATTCACTAGAGGGGTTATTTTACATGCTGATCACAGATATCAAACTCTCCTTGCGTTTTAGGACCTTTTTGCGGACTTACTATGATAGAGGGTCAAAATCATATACCTGCTTGAAAATGTGTGCAGGGGGCTATGCGACTCGCTAATCACGAATATCGAGTTCATTCCGCACGGTAAAGCCTTTACGTTGATTTCTGTGATCTAAACGGCCCGAAACACGAAGAAATGTCTAACTCACAGGCTGAACTACCGTAACTCGACAATAAAGCGTTATTGCAGCGAGCGAGCACGGTATCCGTAATCAGCTGCTCAAAAACTCTTCTAGGCAATGTTTTAAGCAAATTCGGAACTGCGACCTATATACCGTATGCTTACCTAGTCCAATAAAATCGCGCTTTTTGAGAGATTGGCAAAGGCCGCAGAATGCAAAAAAATTGATATTCGCGATCAGCACGTCAGAAATCCCCCCTAGAGCAAGTTCAGCCAAAGTCGTGATTTTGTCTCCCTACCGTATGCCCACCGTAGCCCCCCAAATAACATTTTTGTGCAAAAAAGTGTGTCATATCCGTAATCAGCATGTCGAATAACCCCCCTACCGAGACGAGTTATAGCGAATTCACGACTTTGGAATTTTGGGGCCCGGATAGTGGAATAGCGCCGCAGAACTTACTTACAATTGGTGGCATAGGATACATTGGCGGCATGTATGGCGGAGGTGGTGTGCCAGTGCGGTTCCTTAGACTCAGCTGGTCCCTGGAACTGCTAGTTGTATTGGAAAGAACCAAAAGTTTGAGAAGTACTAGCAAAGGCTGGAACATCTCAACTAACATTCTTCGTTCGTCGTTGCGGCTTTGTGTTGTGCCACCGCCACTAGTGACTTGACTTCCACCTCCTAGATCGTCTCTTGCGTAACAAGGAGTAGAAGCAGTATAACTAGGTGGTCGAGGAGTTGAAGGGCGACTACTTTGACCTGGAGTTCGCGCGTAGGAAGGCGTATTCGGTCTTTCGATTGGTGATTGCCCTCCATTCCAGTATGGGGTAGCACACCTTGCACTGGATCTTCGACCTCCATAAAGACTGAGAGCACTTTCGCCATAGGTAGGCGACCCAGAACAATACCTGGGTGACTGCGTGGAGTATGGTGTAGCTGATCCGTATGCAGGGGTACGAGGTATCTCGAGTGATGTTGAGCAAGTAAATTCCGTCCGTGAATCAGATGCAGATACGTGGTTCTCCAAGTCTGGTTCGTGGGCTGGCGTTTTCGTCGATGGCTGAAAAAATGAATGATCGAATACGGCAGACTAATGTTGAAAGACTGATCTCGAAAGCACTACCGAGGCATAGCAGGCTCGATCAAAGAATGTGACCCACAGCTGCACCGCCCAGAATTCTCCCAGATAATTTCAAGGCCTAAGGCAAACGCCAGAATTGTAACATTGTTTCGGTTTGGCCCACCGAAAGAGCGCACGCAATTGCCAGCAAAAACGTAAGCGAGTCAAAAGTATGGTATACCCAAGAATATTTGCCGTATTTGAGTAAAACAAAAGATAATTGTTATGCGCGGAGCTACAATGGCGATTACCGAATAGAAACTTCTGAATGGACTGATTCAGCGAACTTTGCGGTCCGGGGTCGACAACTATCGTATGATTAAGCCTAGAGCATGTCACTTATGTCATACAAGTCCTTTCACTTTAAGCTAATAGAGAAAATGAATAATCGTGGTTGTAACAATCTAAGAAAAACGTAATGCATTTTACCCGTTTCCAAAATGGACTCATCGGAACATGTGGACCGGGACTTCTCGAAATTCCCCGTCGAGGCGATCGAGGCGGAGATGGATTTGCCTCTAGTAGACCATCCTGTCTACTCTTTTTACTGAATACTCGAGCTGTTCCTGTGAGGCGTCTTTTTGCATCTTGAGTAGAGAACTATTACAAACTCGTTAAATCAGAGATAGAAAAGGCACCTACTCTTATCTTGAATAGAGATTTGATCGTCTGCTCCGGGCTGGGAAGACGGCTGTGCATCTGGAGATATTGCTGGAGGGGGTGGCGGAATCATTATGATGTCTGAATATTCAGACGAATAACTATCTCCAAAGATTCAGTACAAGTGAAAGCCTTAGTGTCCAGATTTGCCAGCACTGCTTTCACAGGGATGGAATTTCATCACTATATGTCGCCGGAAGTGGGCCACAAAGACTGCGGCAGAGTGCGGAGGCTGCTACAAAGACATAGGTTCTCGAGCGACCCTGCGTCCAAGGGCCGGGCATAGATCACGCGATTCCATCGCCTCGCGATTTTGCAGCAAGACCACTGTTGCCAGTTCATCGCATGCCGATCATCTTCATTTTGGTTGTAATATAATCGCGATTACTCGTGTCGAAAAACTACCACAACCGAAACGCAAGATGATCAGCATGCAACGAACTGGCAAGACTGTCTTGTTGAGATAACGTGAGGCGATGAAATCGTATGACGTTCAAATTCAAAATGAATAGCACTGGAAAGCCGTTCTTGCCGTTTTCGCGCTGGCTAATGCGGATGCTTGAGTTCGAGTAACCGATAAGCCCAGGTAAGCGATAAATCCAGAAACTGATACTAAGAGGGGACATTGCCTTTGAAGTCTGCCTTTGGTTCGCGCAAATGTCATGCAAATATGGGAGTTTACAAACTTTTTTGATTATCGTTTTTGAAAAAAAAATGCAGGCGGCGTGAATACGATTACCGGCGCACTAGCATGGAGGGGTTACTGCGAAGGACCACGAACGTTGTTTGGGTGTATTTCATTGACCTCTTTGTTGTTTCAACGGCGAATCTTCTAAGCACCGTCCACCCGAATTCTCGACTTCCATATTTATGTCATTCCGGTCTACCAAGTCGAGAATCCGCGAAAACCCCAACATTTTTTCCCCAACCCTACAGGGCAAGTTCCCGATTGGTTGGACGCTCACGAATTGGCGGGCGAAGGTCACGGCCACTCAAGAGGGAGGAGCCGACGTGGCGAAGTCATCTAAAGCGATTTTCAAACTTCTAGTTCCGGAAGCAACTTTTTTGCAGCGCGAGTTGGGCACGTAGACAGTTGGGGCCCCGTACTGTTAGACATCAAAATCTCATCGATCTCATTATGGGTGGACGGTGCCTTATAGGGGAGTCCAAGTTCATAAAAATGCGGGTGAAGGAGTGTGTGTAGCTTGTGTCAACCACGTGCTCCTTCTTCCACTGCGCAAGCGCCACGCCAGAGCTTCGCGCCTCCACCGGCCCTTGGACTAAAGATCAGCACATAGGGCCCTCGCGTTGCGGACGTAACTCTACCCACAAGAGGTGCCGCTGACACAGACTACGCTCATTGTCCTTGGCGAACAAGTTTGTAGTTGGGACCAAATATTTTGACTGGTAGGCCAGACTTGGCAACTCATATCAAGCAGCATATACCTTTAAATGTGAACACATACCTAGCGCTCAGTGGCGGTCCGAAGAGGGGGCGTGGGGTGCGCGCGTCCCCCCCCCCCCCTCCCCCCCGAGAATGGGTCGCGAAATTTTTGAAATTCACTTACATGGGTTATAAAAATGTGCAAGTGACTTGTTTATTCTGTGAACAATTAACACAATTTTTGAAATTTTCAGAAATTCAATATAGCCTTGTAAAAAAATACCCCCCCCCCTACCTCCCCGGACCGAAATCCTGCGACCGCCACTGCTGGCTTTGTCTATGGAACGAAACAGTACTCACCAGGAGTTTCATGGTCGTCATTCAAAGAAACTGGAGGAACGCTAGGAGGCTGTGGTGGGGGAGGAAGAGGTAATGATTCATCCGGCTCTGCTGGCACTGTAATTGCTGCCTCTTGGGCTGACACCGGCCTTCGAGTGGGCTGCTGTTCTGTCTGCCCTACAGATTCTGAAGCATATCAATGATGGAGACGAATATGACATTCAAGCTTGGATTTTCATACCCGCGGATAACGCGCGCTCTTGCTGTTGTAAAAAAATGTTGCTGAACATTCGTGGTTCTGGCAAAGAGCTGCTCCATAATGAAGTCACTGGATTCTCATTTTCAGCAGACGGACCAAGTGAATGTCTGAAGAAGAACACTCAGACAATCGCAAAGGACTTCCGGCGCAAAATGAATTTCTAAAACTTCCCGGGGGAGGGGGGGTGCTTCTACTGGGCCGGTGGCTTGAACCGTGTAGCATGCGCGCCGCCCTACCTGGCAGCTTCAATAGAAGTGTCCCCCGGAAGTTTTAGAACTTCAGTTTGCGCTGGAAGTCCTTTGCGATTGCCTGCTTCGGCAAATGAGAGAAGCACTTACTGCAATAGCATAAACAAAAGAGTTATAAAGATTCTTACCTCTCTTGCTCTATATCCGTCATTGGAGTCCTGCTACAACTCGGAGATCTGTTCCGGATTGAAGAATAGTAGGCGGGGCTGCAGTGAAAATACTACGCATGTATTCAAATTATCTCCAAACAACTCATCATATCTTCTGCGATTTTATATCAGTATACTTCCTCACTGAGAACTCACCCAATTTCTTCTTCGTCATCATCAAACGCAGGAGATCGAGATGTTCCATCCGGGTAACACGACGGCATTCGCAGAATGGCACAGATTTCACCTACAGGTAGGTGCCAGAGTAAGCGAATATTTTGTTCAGCTTCGTTCAGCTGCAAAAGGCGCACAGAACGTTGATTCTGCGCGGGACCTGCAGCTGAAGCAGGCCTTGGCAGCAGTAGAGATTATGCAGCAGACAATAATTCTGCGCGCCTTTTGCCGCGCTGTTAGAGAGAATGAGGAGATGGAAAAGGGAGCAGGCAAGCAGGCCGTGGGCGTGACGCGAAACCCTAGCGACGCGGACTCTCGCCATGCCAATTTTGGCCTGATGGGAATCGGGGCAGACTGTAGCTCGAGATTATAGTCGCAAGTCTATACTTTGACGACTTACATATCAACCATTCTCGGGAGGGACGCAAGCACGCTTTGCGTACGTTTGATTAACAAGTTCATGAACGCGTTCTGATTGACTATATAAGGTAACTCTGAAAGGTATGTTTGAATTGGTATTTTTAACGAGCTCGAGTATGTTCTTACCGAATTCTTAATAGTAAATTATCCAAAACACGTTAGAACTCATTCATGATCTTGCTAATCAAACGTACATACGCAAAGCGTGCTCGCGTCTCTTAGTGAAAGAATGAATGATGTCGTCGACGCTCTGTACTCGCTCGATGATCCAATCATCTATCCTGAGAATCGAGAGCGCTTTGCTTGTGAGCAGCCACTATGCAGTGGACGTATGCGGGTGGAGGACTATATGTCGCCGAATTTGGAAGAGTCCTGCGCGGATTCCCTGCAGGAACGCATGTCCGCGCATGTACAAGGATGCGTATTTGTCGCAAATGACCGCGGGGACCGCCCTTTTTCGGCGACATATAGTCCTCTACCCGACGTATGCGGAGCGCACCATAAAACCTAAAACACTGTCCAAGCGGCAATGCAAATGGTGCACTCGAGATGGAGGTGTGCATTCCCAAACTAGACCTCGCTACCGTAATGCGAACAACTCGCATTGGCTTGCATGCTATTGCGAGGACCCACCATCCTCGTGAGTTCCCGCGCAAAAGTATCTGGGGGTTGTTTCATGCTGCCGCACTGACCGCAAGGACCGCAAGGACTGCAGCAGACTGCAGCAGACTGCTGCTGACTGCAGCGGTTGCTGTTCACGTAAAAAGAAAGAAGACCTCGATTACGACCGAGACACCTTGAACGGCGCCTAGGAAGATGAAAAGTTCCGAGTTCTTCCTTTTCAATAGATTTTTCTTTTTTTACGCGAACATGCTACGGCCGCAGCGGTCACCTAGGAGAGGACAGGCGCAGCGTTGTGGGAACCCTCATGCTTACCATGCCGCGAAAGACCACAAATTCGAAGAACCTCGCAATTTTCCTATCGAGAAGGAAATCGCGAGCTCGTCCAAACGCGTGTGAGAATAGCTTGCGTGCGCGGATTAGGGGAAAGTTTTCTTGGCAAGGGCTATATGCTACGCACTCTCACTTCTCTCTTTTCGTTTCTGCGCTGCAAGTAAGCTACATATATAAAAATTCCGAAACGTTCTGTTTTGTCGAGCCACTGCAACAATCTGATATTTCAGCTTCACCTCATTTTTGAATGGGGTGAATTTTTAGTGCCTTGTACAAGATGGAGAACAACTCCAGCTTGTTTATGGGTGCTTTCATATCGCGTCGGCAGCCGCCGTTAAAAGCAGTGTCCGGTCAAAAGTCGATGTTGAGACTTTGTGCTTACCCGGGCCTATTCGCTTGCTGAACACAAAAATCCACGCTGGACAGCGCGCAAACGGAGGGAAAGGGCTCTAACATTGGAGGGTAATTAGCAGGGCGGAGGTCTTCCCCACTGTAAATTCACGCTCCCAGCTTCAGGAACGATCTCCTCAATTCCTTTAGCTGCCCTAACATCGCCACCAGCTAGTGCGAAGCGTGATTTGAAATCGGAACCAAGAAGACCGCTCCGGAAGTTGGGAGTGAATTCACAATGGGGAAGACCACCTGCTAATTCCCCTCTGCGTTAGAGCCCTTTTTCGCCTTTTTCGCGACTTACGCGGTTTTGCGTGGTTTGCTACATTTGTCCTGGCTCATTTGTCCATGGGACTCATTCTTTGGGCGACATAACCCTAATTTTCCACGAGGCACAGACGTTAATGTTTTTCTCGCATGGAATTATCGTACACTCGCAGTTCCGTGCTACTCTCACTGCTATTTAGGATACGGTAGGACTAGCTGCCACGGAGGACGATTAGGAGGCACAAGCAGTGGCGCATTTTTGCAAAGCGTTTCCCGCGATGTATCGTCCCTTCCACAGTTGCTGCTGCCTTTGTTCTGCGTCTCTGACCTGCGGTACGCATGGCCAATATGTTGGCAACATGCAGTATATTGGCGCTGAGGCTGATAGTCAAAATGTTCTGGACATGCTGTTGCATGTTGTTAACGCTTTAGCCATACGTGCCGCAGGTCAGAGACGCAGACCAAGGTATAGGGCATTTGAAAAATCGTGACGATGGTGCGACCACTCGCGACACGTACGCCACTTCCGGAAATCGTGTTTTCTGAGTTATCATCTCTGGTCGAATGGTTTTTACTTACATATGATATTATTTAGACATTGGAAGTGACTGAGCTGCACGTTGAGGTGCTGCCTTCTTGTGCAGCGTTTTATGCTTCTGTGGGCGCAGAGTCCGCAGTAAAATCCGTCGTCACGATTTTACAAATGAACTATATCAGCAGCAACTGTAGAAGGGACGATACAGCCTGCCCCATTCCCAACCAAGCCAAAATTGGCATATCGGGAGGGTATTGCATCACGTCTACGGGTAGCTAGTCTGCTCTCCCTTTGAAGGCAGCGTACACCCAAATCTAGGTTACCCGGTTCTCTATACGGTGTATATGTAGGGCCCAGAAGAAGACGAACTGCTTCGGTTTGGTTTCCCAATATTGCTTCTAAGCAGAGAAAACCCGCCTGATTCTTCTTGCGTTCCGCCCCTTTCTTTTCGTCCTCCTCCTTCGGACGAATCGACAGCGTAGGCTGCAGTTGCAGTTGCAGTTGCGCACTTGCAACAGTGCAGTTGCTTTTTGCGGTCCGCCTCCTTCGGACGACGAATCCATGACAGCATACGCTGCAGTTGTAGTTGCAATTGCAGGCTGTCATGCAGTTGCAGGTGCTCCTCGCTGGCATGCGGACGGGTCGAGCAATTCGAAACTCGTCCTCCCTCCGAAGAGAAGATCCCCGGGAATCGGGGATTTTTTTGGGAATTTTGGAGAATTTCAATGTCATAAATGTAATCAGGGGCACGGGAAGGCCCCAGAATGACAAAAAAGGTGAAGTTTTGGGTCTACGCTGCCTTCAATCTCCGCTCTTTGTGACAGCGCGTAAGCGGCAAGCACTCTAGCGATACGAGCGCGCAAATTTAGCCGATGTTTCAGCCTGATCACGATTGAAGCACACTGTAAATACGAGAGTCGCACTCCTATCACAATGTTGAAGGCAGTGGCTCGGTAGATCGACACTTTGAAGAATTTGGCTTTCTCGATTCCTCCTGCATGAGCTGAGTCCAAATCTGTGTCTTGCAGGCCCCCGCCAGAGTGCCGAAGCCATGCCAGAGCTACGCCAGCGCCGAGCCAGCGTTTCGATCGATACACGTGTATTTCGTCGGGGCGGGGCTAGCTGACCTAGTTCTCAGCAGGTAGATGTCCTCAACGAAATACATGTGTATCGATCGAAACGCTGGCTCGGCGCTGGCGTAGTGCTGGCATGGCTTCGGCACTCTGGCGGGGGCCGCAGCTTCTGGAGATATTGATAACTCGCATTTCAGAAGTGGAAAGTGCTGTTTGGGCGGGAAACGAAAGCCCGTCCTCTAGACAACGATTGGCTTGTGGTATCCAGATGGGTGGAGAGAACGGAGCTTTTACGTCCAGGAAAGCGAGTTATCAATGGCTTTAAAAGCTGCAAAGTTTAGCTCTAGACTTAGCTCATCCAGGCGAGTTAAAAACGATGAATATCCCAGAGTTGTCCATCTGCGCAGGCAGTGCGTCAAAGGCAGTGTCCTACCAAAATTGGGGTTGCGATTTTTCACATATTTTGTCGTAGGACTCACTGAATAGGCGATCGCCCGAGTCCGACTCGATCCGAGCCCTTTTACGCCAAGAAATTTGCCCTCAAAGTGGCTCGCAAATCGCGATTTGGCCCGCACAGCCGACCATCCCAGTTGTTTCTCGCGCGTTTTATGCGTTTCAACATGTCCCTCCATTTGGCGTCCACCTCCATGGTGTTACTGCCACTGTGACAAGAGCAAGGCTGAGAAGGCACAACTTGTCCGTGCCGCTTCCACGGGGCTTTCAAAAACGGCGTTTTCGTGCATGTCATGTGATTTTGGACCCTCATTGCCATGTGATTTTGGACCTTCACAGAGTTAGCCAGGAAGTGCAAGAAGGCCTGCAACATGTCAAAGTCGACAACCAAAATTTGGTGATACACTCCTTCAATACGTTGACGACGGGCCTTTTTTTAATGTCTGTCCCTGTGGACGAACCGCTTTCTACGTCTGGCTACATGTGCATGTGCATGCATCTATGCGTGTTGCACAAAATTAAGGTGGGCGGGCAGCTCCGCTCCCTTGTGGCAAGCTTCACCCACTTTTCAAAAGTGCGAAATCTGCGCAAGAATTCGTGCAAATTTCGACATTGAGGTAGGCGGGGCACCCCTTCCCTTGCGGCAAGTTCCGCCCACTTGGTGGAACTGCCAAAATTTGCACGAATTCGTTGAAATTCCCGACATTTTTGAAAAGCGGGCAAAGCTTGCCACAAGGAGGTGGAGGAGCTTACCCAAAGTGTTCACAGCCACTATTGAATTTGATGAAGCTTCATCAGCTTTTTCGGGTCTGGAATACAGAATTCCAGGTGCTAAAGGTAATTTGAGTTTTGCGTAAAAGTATCTCCAAATTATCTTTTCCACTATGAGTACAGTATCATTACCACTGTGTGTGATATCGAGGCAATGACGTAGATGTCGATGAACTCAACGAAAGCT